CTGCATAGTCAGCATCTCGTGTAGACACGGCCACTGAGTATTAATTTACTCTGGCACAACCAAAGGGACTGACTAGAAAGTGGGCTACATCTCAAGAATCAGAGCACCAGAAACCCACAGGTTGCAAAAAGTATTCTCTTCCCTGTTTTTCTCTCTTCCTCCTGCCCTCTCTCTGTATTAGCTTTCTGTTAAGCATACTCTCCCAACCACTGGCACAGTTCAATCTGTCTCCTTTTGGAGTTTTAATTTGATTTAGAACACAGAACCTTGACTGAGCAAGAATCGTGGCTTCCCTACATCTGATTACACATCTCAGGGCAGGAGACCAAGATTGTATTTAATAAACGATCCTCTTTGCCAAGAGTAGCAACGTTAACTCCCGTCAAATGGACAGCCACCCTCGTGAAGTGAGCTAGAGCTGGTGTGTTGGCATGATGACAGCGCATTCTCTCCCAGCCAGCAATGAGCCAGGTTCAAGAGCTTAAATACTCAGGCTTCAAGTTCTGGCATTGAGTCTCTCAGATACGACATGCTTGAGCTTCCCAGGAGGTTGCACACCTCACTTACACCCGTCCCTGCCACCCAATCTGTGAAGCAGGATTGCAGCAGCTCCAGAGAGAGAGATGTTCACTCAAACTGGCAGCTGCCTTTTGTCCCACAATGGCAGCTGCCAGCAAGAGACAGACAGGGCAAGGGGAAAACACACAATAGCAACATGCTAGATGCAAAGCATATTACACGCTAGATTTAGAATAAAATAGCATGCATTAGGGATAAATATTCAGCTCAACATACAACTGAGCCCTGTGACTTTTGTTACCGTTATCAAGAGCTGAGGTGAATCTCCCTGCGCCATGCAGAACATGTTGCAAATGCAAAATAAATAGATCAACACAACTGACTTATTTTTAACAAACTCACATTTTGGGGACAAGTTGGGCGGGGGGGAGAGACAGACATTTGAACATATCCAAGGATATGGGATCCTGGGAGCTTTGCTTTTACTCTCAGGCTGTTTGGCCTGGGTTTGTTTAGATAGACTGAATGGTCGTGGCAGGCTGGCTGCTTCAGAGACTGCATTCCCCTCCTCAGAGGGCACAGTATTGGCAGAGGCAGTATGAGTTTCTCATGCCTGTCTGTCAGAGCATCAACCCTAATGCGAAGGGACCAGAGCTCGATTTGTGAGGCAAGCTAATTATGATGTATTATCTGGTTTGCAGTAGATTCTGAGACACCCGTCAGGAACCAGGGCCCCTGTGTACTATGTAGGGTACACATTGCCTGTTCCTCTGCCTTTGTATCTGTCTAAGGCCAAGTCCTGTCTGCTCAGACTATTGGGTGAGGTAGGGAGGCAGTGGAGATGTGTACTTCCCTGCATTCCAGTCCCGTGTCCTTCCCTTGGGCCTCTTCTCAGCACATTCCTGCAGCTTCTAGGAGGTGAGCCAATTGCCCAGCTTACTTGAAGCATGTTGCAGAGGCAGCATCCCACAAGAGCAATTTTCTAGATCCCACTAGCCCTGCTCCCATAAAAGAACAGGTCTTCCCACCCATTTTAGCTCTAAAGACAAGCTCAGGAGAAGTGCTATATCCAAATGCTAATGAGAGGCACATAATTATCAGTAAACCTTATGGGGAAGTCTACAATGGAAAAAAAAATGTGTGCTCTTAATTCAAGTTAACAGAGCTGTGAAGACATCGTAATTTGAGTTATAACTAAGGTTAGCAAGTCAAACGAGTTCATTCCTATAAAGGACGCTGAGATTTAACTCACCCCATGCTAACAGCCTCTTACCTTGTCATGAAGGCTATTTTAATTTAAAATAGCTAATTTGGATTATTCAACCCAAGTGAAGAACATAGATTTTTTCAGGATAGGCGTGCCCCACACAGCATGGGCAATTTCATAATGCAAGGCATATTTTGGAAGAATTCAGGAAAGCAGGTTTGTTTGTGTGTGCGTGTGTGGTGGAAGGGAAATAATTTTATGCAAAGCAAAGGTGTTGCAATCGTCTACCCTGGAAATCTTTAAAAGGAGACTAGAGAGTCACCTTGCTGGGGTCACATGACCCCCAGTTGACTTTCCTGCTTGGTGAAGGGGGACTGGACCCAATGATCTTCTGCGGTCCCTTCTAGCCCCTTACAATCAATGAATCTATGAACTCTGAATGTGTCCATAGAGATAAAATACATTTTTCAACTCCTGCATGCAAGAGCAGCATCTCTTAAAAACAATTTTTTCTATTTCATCATTTTTCTATTTGTTTTAAGTGAAGCCTTTTTTCTATTTCCCTTTTTATGTTTTAATCTTGGTATGCAACATACTCTATGACCCTGAGAGAGTAAAGGAAGCAAGGCCCTATGTCTATAAAGGTGTTTAGCAACACCGAATGATCAAAGTCAGCACTGCATGGGCAGCTTCTAAATTTTTCCTATTATCATGTGTTTGTGGATTTGACAGATTGCATCATTCAGCGTTGATGTATCAGTATTTGATACACTATGAATATTCACAGTGCATATTAAATTAACCAGGTGATAAAATACAGGTTTGTTTTGCATGTTAACTCTGTGTTAACGCTGCCCCTAAGTGGTTAAGTTGGTTTATTGCAAGTTAATTAGCTTTCGTTTTAGGCCATTATTTATTTATATATGACAGGATGTTGTGTTTTTCTGTTTCAGCTTTATGGCTAGGCCATAGTTCTTATCCTAGTTAAAGTTCTCATTCTATTTTATGCCATTTTCACACATAAACAATGTTTTTAAGTAAGTCAGACTGATAAATGCTATTACAGTGCAACACTGTCTTTTACATGTTTGTTACCCAGACCAAGACAAACTGAGTTGCTTTTATTAGACTTCCACATCTTCAGCTCATTTTAATTAGCATTTCTATTAATAATTTCTGCAACTAGCTGAAGAATTTGGGGGGGTCACAACAGAATGTTGTCTTCCTGTAGGGACTGTCTTTCCCCCTGTGCTTACATCTTTTGCTGCTTCTAAAATATTTCCTACACTGGTCATTACGTCTCTTTTCATGGAATCATAGTTTTTGTCCCTGCTTTTACTTCCTTCTGTTTGGATTAACATAATACATTATAACTAAACCTCATCTCTATACAGGTGGGAAGCTGCTACTAATACAGAGTATAGCTGCTGTCATTTTGAATACAAAATCCCAGCGGGAAAGATTCTAAGTACATCCTCCAGAGTTGGTGCAGCTACTTGGGCTTCCAGCTCTGGCTCACCTTTAGGTTGTATACTGCTCTTCACCTGTGTGTGTACAAGTTGCATTTATGCCCCACAGATGTAACATATGAGATATGAAGGCAAGAAATATTCACAGCCCTATGTTCTCAAATACTGCCTCCTGCTGATAGCTAGGGCTCTGTAAAACCTACAGACTTATTGTTTAGTTTACTGAAGTCCTGCCCCAAGATACCAGTTAAAATTATCCACTGTGGACAGCCCCGCTTTAGTGGCTACCACACATGTCATTTGGGGAGCTTGTTCGGTCAGTCTTTTAATATCTCCTTTGTGCTGAATTTCCCTGCCAAGGAACAATAAATAACCCCTACCATGACTTTCTCAGGGTCCAAGCAGATAACTTCTTCAGTTGCTCATTTCACTAGCTAGCTGAACCCTTCATGTCAAATCAGATTTTCGTTTCTAACGTGCTTTGGGTCTCTCTGGTGTGATGAAGGGCTATATAAATGTAAGCTCTCGCTGACTCTACCTTGTCTGCCCCAGGGAGTAAAGTTCAAGCAGGCAAGAGTTAAACCATGAAGCACTGCAATGTTTTAATTTACTATGTTCTCACCTCTGGATACCTGGATTCAAATTCTGGACTGAGTCTCAAGGCAAGAAAATGAATCTGGCAAATACTGTACTAGTAAGCATCTGACCTCTGCATGAAAGCACTGCAGAATGCTCCGTAACTACCAGTCTCTGGTCAGGATATGCTGAGGACTGGAATAGCAGAGGCAAGGAGGACTGGCATATAGTAGGTGCATTAAAGGTCAGGAAGACTGGAGTGGATTGGTAGAACTCTATGGGAGAAGCTTATACAGCACCTGCTTGGGCTATATGTGGACCGAGCAAAGTCTCTTGCTTTGTTGAGCTATAAAATTCACACAGAAATATGGCTTTAAAAAAATTGGACTGCAATGAATCTACAAGGATGTTGTCTGTCTTTAGCAAAGAACAAAGCATGTTTTTGTGTTACTACCACAGATCTTAACCTTGGGTTAGTGAAATTTGTCTCATATTTAGTTTTCTCATCAATGTGCGCTCTGAAGGCTGGTGAGTTGTGTTGCTGCCTTAAAGCTTAGTGTATTAATATGTTAACCCATTGCAATGAGTCTGAATTCCAGCAGGGCTCCAAGCAAGATGTTCATTTCTGTTATAGAAGCGGTTAGCGAGGGGGTGAGAAGAGGACTGACAAATAAGCTTTTTTGTGTTGCCCTGCCTGTGCTCTTTAAGGTGGAGCATGATGCTCAATCAGAGACAGCTCAAAGTCTCTGAAAGAACAGATGACTGTTTAAATCCTAGCCTTTCCCAGCAGATGTTAGACAGTGCTGTTAAGGAGTCCAGACATTTGGACACAAAAGGAGATACAAAAGATATTATTAAATTATCTCAATGATTTAAAACAGGTTCACGGAGGACATTTGGGGTCATGCATTTACATGGTTCTTCCTTCTTTCTCTCTCTTCGTTTTTATAAATCTGCTCCTACGTCTCCTTAGTGCTATGGTTTCAACCAGACAAGGACAGTATAAGTAAAAATCTATGGACTACCTTAAATATCCCTTGCCATGCATTGTTAGAACTCTTATTAAAATACAAAACCCACAGTCACAACAGCAGGCTGGAAATCTGCCTGATGGTCAAATAAATCAAAATATTTCAGAGTTCCTGTTAACAAGCACCCATTAAAATCTGACAACCAGCAAGTATCAAAGGCAACCTAGATTTAAAAAGTTAGAAACAATGCAATTCCTTCAGCAGAGCAATACAGGTTTATTTCCTTCCATTTAAAAGTAGGAAATTGGTTGCTGCTGTTAATTTATTATTTTTCTGACTCATGGAATTCATTATTTTTTGTTCCCCTCTGATGCGCCAGAGTTGACTTGGTGGTGAGGTACCCTGGATGTGATTTGCAAGAGGTGAGATGTGTCCTTCGGTTCCCACTAATGCATGCTGGAGTTGTGAATGCTCAGCACAAAATTAGGTCCATACTCTCAGTTCTTAACAGGCAGTAGGAGGCATGTCATGTAAGCAAGCCCTCACTGTACCTCCAGGTCCTACCAGAGATCTCGACCTTTCTAGGAGTCTCAGGTTTGTTTCAAGTAGGCATTCCAAAAGGTCATTCTTCCAGATTAATTGCCTTCAACACACCCACCTGAGCTTGCCTCTTTCTTGTCTGTTTCAATAAATAAATAAAAGAAAAGAAAGAGAGAGAGAAAAGCAGATTTTGTTTTAGTAAGCAGTTTAAATCTGGTCTGGTAGGTTGAATTCATTCATTCATTAATTCAGTCATGTGCTTAGAAAAACCCAGCAGGACTCCCTTCCACCATAAGAACTTCTGACTGTGAAATAAACTCTGAGTAACCAGATTAACTATGAAGTATGTATCAGTCAGGTTTTCAGCATTAGTTCAAGTGTACTTTCCATGCACTGCAAAGCAATATAGCTCATTCCTGGTTCAGGTGTGCCTTCAAGGCAGGAATAAACTACATAGTTTTATGTCTTATCTCACCTACCTCTGGCTCAAAAATAAATAAATAAATGAATCTAACATCAGTTGTGTGCTATCAGCCAGTTTAGATATACCTGTTAATGCCAATAGTATCATTGTTTTGTCTTTTGGCCATGCAGATATCATTGTATAAATGACTATTTTGGGGGCCAAAGCCAAAGATAGAAAATCTCACCTGAAACTGCTGACATTTTATAAATTGAAACTATATTTAGCATGCAAAATCAAGTGGTTACAATGGACATTTCTATGGAAATTTAATATAATCCTTGATATGTCAATCATGCATCACTACCAGCCCATGTGATTATTGTCTATAGGAATGATTTAAATTATGGCATTATTTTACTATTTATAGCTTTCATAGTGGCAATGTCCAAAGCTCTCATGAGGATTGTGGGCTCAGCGTGTTAGGTACTATTCAAACATAAGCATGTGTTCAGATACAGGTTCTGACCCTGAAACCTATCCAAAAAGTCAGTGGACTTCCACTTCTGAATAGGACTTTATATTTGCAGAAGAAGGGCAGTACATTACATACATGGAAGCAAACATTGTAGTCAAATTAACAACTCAGTTTCCATTATACACGTTCTCAAGGCTCCTAACTTCCTGATCATATTCACTTTTTGGCAGAGCCCAAGCACAGAAAATCTCACCTGAAAAATTCTACTTTCACAAATTCAAAAAGGATCTAGCTTGCAAAGACAGATGTTTAAAACTGTAATCTCTATTCCCATGTGAACTGCAGTTTTCCATTCTTAGCATCAATCCAATGGGAAGGAATACTGGAATAGTGTCCAAGTTAAGGTTGCTTTTTGTAACACTAGTTATGAAATTCCTGATTTCAAAAATGTCTAAAACACACACATGCACACACAAAACTGATCACCTTGAGCTTTCCAGGCTTTCAAGTGTTTTCATTTTTATTACTATGCGGTAATTCTCTGAACAAAATTATGCAGTGCAATTGATATCCATTTATATCCTTAATCACAATTTAATTTTTTTATATAGGGAGTCTAATACATGCTGAAACTAACCTTCACTCACAAAAATAACTGAGATCATTGATTTGTTGCTATACCAACTGTGAGCTATCCCTCCTCTCCATGCTCATAGAAAAGCATGTTACCACAAAACTCAACTGTCATGTCATGTTGATGGTATGGAAGTTCATGTTCTCTGTATCTTTGCTAAATCTGTTCCTTGAACAAAAGACTTCACTGTCCATTTCTGTCCGCTGGACACATTTCATGGACGCTAACTTGATTTTAATTTTCATAACATAATGCTGTTGTACTCCAGGCTAAAGTGATCTGGCAAATCCACCCTGAACGTGGGAGTCCAATATAATGCTGAAGCTTGTAACAAGCCAGTCACTGGGCACGTCTGCATAAGATGCTAGAAGCGCAGTAGACTAATCTACAGCACATTAGAACATTGTGGCAAAAAACATGCTAATGAGCTAATGTGCAGTAGAATTAGTCTATTGCGCATTAGCTTTAGCTAAAAGACATGAACCAGTGCTACTGTGCAGTAGCACCGATTACAGCGCATTAACTTAATGCACCATAATTACAGTGCAATAATGAATGTTTGGATGTGCCCACAGACTGATCAATTATTTCCCAAACTTTTACTGAAGTGGAACCAGGCTACTTAGTCTGTTCTTTGATGCACCCTGATGAGTACAGTATAGATCCCAATTTTGAAATTGGACATCATCTGCAGTCAACAGAAGGCCATCAATTTTTATTCAAATTCAAGAGTCCTAGCACATGTACTCAGGATAAAAATGCACCAAGATCATATTCGTTCCTTCTTTCAGTTGGTCAGGCTGGAAATGATCTTTAATTTTCCCAAATGAGAAGCATGTCTGAGTTCACTAGCACCATATATCAGATTTTGGGCAAGAATATGTCTATGAAGCTGTTTACCTGGTAGGTGATCACAAAAATTACATGGATTTCAATATTACATGCAGCTGAATAAGTAATGATGTGTTTGTTCATAAGCCATCTATGCTACACTAGAACATACTGTGGTGCTGGCTAAGATGAGAGCATATGTAAACTTCAGCATAAGGAAAGTGACCTCATCCCATACACTGTTGCCAATACATAAGACCTCTTCCACCTTTAGACAAATATAGACACTGATGCTCTTTTGCCACTAATGTAAGCTATCTACTTTTGCAGGCCTTTAAGATTTAGTGAGATTACTTCATTCCAATTTTACCATGTCAAAAAATTAAAGTGTTACTAGGAAGCTGGAAATCTGCCTGTTAATCACAGATCCCTTAGTCATAAACAAACTCATCCCATGCACTCATTTAAAATAACATGGCAGTATTTAAAAGTCAGAACTTGAAATGCCCCAGGCCCGTGTGAAGGGATGGGGGAGGGAGATGCACATACACACAATGGCTATCAGTTTTTGAATCTTTTAATACCCTTTGTTTAAAGACAATGAGCTCTGTACTATCAGAAATACTTTCTCTTTATAAGTATTTTTAGACTGTAATTACATCATACCTTAAGCTTCTGTGACTAAAATTTACTTCTTCAGTTTCTCATTGTAAGACAGGTTTTTCAGTCTCCAGTCATACTTCTAACCTCTTTCTGAGCCTTCTCCAGTTTGACAACATCCCTGTTAAAGTATGAACGTGGGGCCATATTCTGCTCTGTTACACTGCTATAGCTCTATCAAAGTCAGTAGAGTTGCATCCTGTTTGAAGTGGATGCAGTGTTCCAGTCCTTGAATCACTAATGCCACGTGCAATGGTAAGAATAATGCCTTCTTATGCCCACCTGCTAATCACCTCAGTATACATCCAAGAGTTACATCTGTGGCCCTAGCTACTACGTCCCATTCCAAGCTCATGTGCAGTTGGTTATCCATCAGAAACCCTTAGTCCAATTCAGAGTCACTGCTTTCTAAAATATACTCTTCTCCCACCACCCTATAAGTAGAACATATATTTTTGTTCTTTATTTAGCCTTGTTAGCATGCAGTGTTTAGATCAGCCCAGTCTACCAAATGATCCAGACTGCTCTGTAGAACTGGTCTTTATAATTTCTTCACCAATTTCTGACTTTGTTCACTCCAATTTCTGAAAGTCCACAGTCACTCTGTTAACTTTAACAGAGTTACAGTGCTGTAATTGAGAGCAAGTATGACCAAGTGTCACAGGAAAGTAAAAGACAGATGACCATGTTCTACTGTCATCTGTAGCTTTGTGAATCCAGTAGACATATACATGCAGAAATAAAGAGGTGGTACAGCCCAAACCTCTGAACCCTATCAAACTATAGCAGCAGATCCATAAATCCAACAGAGCCCTGCAGTTCTGGGTGCATGCTTCTTTCCAGTTCTGTTTCTGATGTGGCCTAAATGGTGAATATTTCATAGGAACAGGTGGCTTGACACCATTTCCAGTGGTCAAGTAGAGTATCCTACCAAGAAGTCTCTTGAGAGCAGCTTGTAGGTCAAAACATAGGTCAAATTTCTCCTAAGACAAAGTATTTTATTCTAGGATCCTAAAGAGGTACAAGCCCATTGTCCCACTTTAAATACCAGTGAAATACCCAAAATAGACATCAAGTTTATCCTGGGTCTGATTGTCCAGGACCTTAACTCACATCAAAATAGTCATGGGACAGTTACAAATGCAGCTTGAATGAAAATTAACACAAATTAGTCCTGGAGGGGAAGTGGACAGTGCTATCTCAGCACTTCACAGGTACTTAAAATGGGGGAGTGAGTTTCTATGTCTGTAGGATCTCAGAATTAAAGGCTTTGTCCTGGGAGAAATCCAACATCTGTTTTGAATCTAAAAGCTATGTTGCTTCCAGGTCTTGACTTGGATCAGTCAGAACCAACTCAACTGCTATGTCTGTTTTTACCATGTGAAGTTTGTGCTGCAGCTGAATGAAAATTGAAAAGCTACCATTGATTCAGCCTCAGACCTGCACCCTCAAACTAAACACGTTCCATATCTGAATGCTGCCACCTTGTCCCACAGGAATCTCTAGTCATCAACAGTGATCTGTTTGAAGGAGGTGAACATGTAATTTCTTTGCAGAGGTGGGAATATACACAAAGTGCAAGGTTTTCTGTGACTCTGTAATGGCAGGAAATGCCACGGTACCATCAATGTACTTCAAAATCCATTATAAACCACAGAATAGACACAAAGTATTTTCTATGGGATCAAAGCAAAAGAAAACTGATATTTTATCTCTTTTTAGACTTACTGTAGTCTCTAATAAGGCATACAATGAACCCATTAGCCTGATAACAGCTCTGCTTCTTTCTGTGAAGTGTTAGTGAATTCCAACTTCAGGAGACAAATAATCACAATAGATCTCATACCTATACGCATATGTGTCTCAGTTTGAGAAATTCACTCTGAGACAGACAGACCATGTCCTGTATCCATTGCTAATTATAAATTACTATTATTTATTCAGTACAGTAAGTGTGCATCTGGTAGCAATGACTGCAGAGCATATAAGAAGGCTGATACTTCCTAGCAAATGGTGTTTTTATGGTTAATAGATACTGTCATAGAAATTACTTGGAGGGGAGTATGTATAGGCTTGCATTCTAACTTTAAAGTAAATCACATTAGGATGAAGATATCAAGATATGATTCTCCA